AGATTATACAAAAAATACAAAGGAATTCTTTTCCTTCAACTAAGAGAAAAAACAAAATCGGATTTAAATTGTCTAGTGGGGGCAGGAAGGGGGACGTTGTTTGCAGGTGCCAGAAAGGATGGAGGAGTGGTGTCTGAGGGGTGGAGGACCCGCTTACCTTGCTCTAGAGCCGCCGCCGCAGTGGGACAAGAGAGGAGGACCCTGGCAGTGCCTGTGTGTTTGGGGAAGGGTGGGATAGGGGATCCGGGTGCCCCTGGACGAATGAGGAGGGTGAAAGGACTGGGGGTACCCATTTCCCCATCTCCTCCCGCCTCCCTCCGGTACCCAGGCCTAGAGAGCTACTGAAAGTTACAAATTGCTTCCATTATTAGCTCATCCCGGGCGGCCTGGTCATTGGCCAGTCCCGGATCACGTGGTCCCTCGTACCAATCGATCGAATTTCTAGTTGCAATTCTCTGTCCCTCAGCTCTGGGCAGAGAAGGGGGGGAGCGGTGGTGCAGGGGCTGAGGAGGGGCTGTGGAGGGTCTCTTCGCCCTCCTCATCCTCTCCTCCTTGTCCCGGCCCTGAGTGCCGCCCCAGAAGGGGTCTAGGGAATGTTGTGAGCTAGGACACACTGGGGAGGGCACAAACTGGAAGAAGCAAGAGACGTCGCCAAGGACCCAATCCCTCTCCTTCCAATTCCCCGGCCGGGCTGGCCCCCCTGGCCACTCCTTCTATAGTGCCCACTCAGCCCCGGGCAGTCCCGGGCTCACAGCCTGGCCCTTTGCCCCGGGGGATTAAATGTCCCCTCTCTGGAGCACTGCTTCGCCCCCCACTTTGGGGAAGGTGACCCGACTCCTACTTCCCTGGGGCTTGCTCTGAATGAGGAGCCTTCGCCCTCGGGGGTGCCCTTCCCACCTTGATGGCAGAGTTTGCGCTCCTCTTGGGACCGTTTGAAAGAAGGACAAACTTTTGAGTGGATCAAAATCAAGAAGAGCCGGTCCGGAGCAGGTGAGTTGGGCCCGGGAGGGCTGCGCCTCATCCTGAAAACAATCCCTCCCTCCGTCTGTCTGTCTGTCTGTCCCTCCCTCCCTTCCCCACCCTGCCTCTCTCTCACTCACTCCATCCCTTTTCTCCTGCTACTAATCTGCCCACCTCGAGGGCTTTGGGCTGGGATTGAGCGTCTGTCACAAGCATGGGGCAGAGCAGCTCTCCTCTGAGTTTGGGGACTACGGTGGCAGCTGGCAGAGGAAAGAGAAAGGTTGCTACTGAAACTGAGGACAGGAGAAATCGGGGGCCTAAAGACTCAAAGAGTCTGAGGGTGATAACTTCCGTCCCCAAACACAACTTGCACGAACTTAAGAAAAGTTTTTTGAAGGGAGATGGAGAAGGGAGCACAGTTGGGGTTTTGAGGTTTAAAGTGAGAGGGAAGGATGCTTTTGCTGGTTTCCCGATCAGGGCTGATATAGAAAAACCCGGAGGGTCCTGAACCTGCTCACCCTAACAAACCCTTATAGACGCTTAGAGATCCTAAGAGGGGTATCGGCTAAAGGGAGAGAAGCAGTAGCCGAAAATAGCAGCTCCTGACTCTGTGGGATGGGGGGTTGGGTACCCGCCCAGAGTCTCTGCCCAGGACAGCCTCAGCCCCTGCTGCCCCGGGACCTCTTGCTGATTTTAACTTAGGAGTGACACGAAATAAGGAATAACTTCCAAATATCTCCTCCTTTTAAATCCAGTTAACTTAGAGACCCACGTCCCTAAGATGGAGTCAAGGGAGTGCCCTCCTCCGCCCCGCCCCCGCCCCCAGCACAACCTTCCTATTTTCTCAGCTCACAAAGGAGGGCAGGAAAAGAGCTCCCTGCCCCGTCTCGGGGCTGAGATTGGCCCCCCTCCAAGAAATATCCTGTGTTTGGGAGGAAGGGATGGAGAAGGCTCTGCAAAAAGGAGTCAAGGGCAGAGGGTGGGTTCAGAGGGAGCGGCTGAACTGGAGGGCCGGGGAAGAGAGTGGCGGGGGACGGGGGGGGCCTGGGCAGGCCAGACCTGCAGGGTGATCTGGGAAAGCAAGCGAGGGGTGGAGGCCGCAGCAGGTGCACTGCGGAGTCGCCAGAGAACTCTCGAAGACCGGCCTGGGCGGAGAGTCTCGGCTGCACCTGAGGTTTGTGGTGCTGCCTGAAGAGCTGGGCAGGAGACAGCCGGCTCATTTGATTTGGATCTGTTTTATTGTTTGTTTGGCTTTATTTTGTTTTGTTTTGAAAGAGCCAGGAGTGGCTGTGGATCACAGGGGAGAAAATTCCCACGTCCACGCAGTGATCTCTCTGGTCCCGCCTGGCCCACGCCTCCACCTCCAGTAAAGGGAGGAAAGCTAAAAGCAATGCTGGAAAGTGCAGGACAGGAGCGCCTCCTCGGTCAGGAGCGCCAAAACCGCCCAGGCCTTTGTTTTCACTGAGCCCGAGGTTTTTCTGCTGGTAATGCAGCTGCCGCCCTGGCACCTGCTTCTACCAGACCCCCGGAATTGGGCCCTTCTAGCTGAGAGGTGTAGGAGGCCACAGCCGGCACTGCCTAAAGCTTGGTCTCCAAAACACTGGTCCTTGAGAGGGTTGTGTCCAGGGGCAGACGGGGAGGCGACTGATATTCAGAACAAATCTAAGCCCCTTTCTGTCTTCCTATCCTGAGACCCTGGGCACCTTTCCAGCCTAGAGGAGTTGGCTGGAAGGTCTCATCCCGTCGCTATCCCAAAATTAAAATAGAGCCGCCTGCTGCTGCTTTTGCCGGCTGCGGGGGTCTGGGTGCTCTGAGAGAAGGCGCCTGGCTCTGGGCTTTGCCTCCTCCTTCCTTGATGAAGCCAGCCCTTTATGCCCCTACCTCCTGAACACTTACCCTCTCCCCACCCTCCACCCCACAATCTGTGGGATTGTCTGTTTTATGCTTTCCTTTCCTCTCTTCCTCTTTCTCTTTTTTATTAGGATTGACAGAATGAGTTTGGCAAGGCTTCTCTAAGCCTGTAGTAGGGAGCTGTGGATCCAGCCCCTAACTTTTCAACTAGGGGAAACAGGCCTATTCCTGGGCCCTTGAGATTGAACCCCAAGTTGAGGGAAGATGAGAAAGAATGGTATGAAGGATAGCTGGCCAGACAGGACAGAAGCTCTGACTTGGAGAGGGCGCCGTTTTATGCCATGTGCCTAAGAGAGAGAATTTAGAAACAAAGGAAGATAGAAAGAAGGTCGAGGAAACAGCACAAAGGACTGGAAAAGCTGAGAATGACAGTGAGGGAACCAGAGATTTGAGGGAGCCCTAATGCTGGGGGCAGAGGAAAGGGCCCCAGGGAGTGTGGCTGGGAGAGATGACCATGAGGGAATCGTGACAAAGGAGAGAACGAACAAGCAGGATTTAATTAGTTTTATGATGAAAATAGCAGAAAGGAAACAAAGAGAAATCAAGAAAAAATAGAGAAAGAGAAAACAAATTAATAAAAGGAGGGAGCTAGAAATAAGAGAAAAGGGAAGCAAAAGAAGAAGTAAAAAATGTAAAAGAAAAGAAATGGAAGAGAGAAATGTGAGAAATGAGGAAAGATAGAAAGATAAAAGGAAGAAAAAGTGAAGGAAGGGAAAATAGAGGGAGAAAAAGTGAAGGTGGGGCAGAAAGAAAGCAAAAAGAGGGAGGAAAAGTGGGAAATAAAGATACAGAGAGAGAAAGAGAAAAGAAAGAAAAGGAGAGAACAAAAACAGGTCAACAGAAAGGGGATCTCATTCAGGAGGAGCATAGGCAGGGGAAGCATAGAGTGGAGGGTGGGCAGGGAGAGGCCAGGTGGGGCCGAGGCAGGGTCTCCCAGCTACCAGGTTGCCCCACGAGGCTGCACATCGGGCTGCCGTGTCCCTGACCTACCACCATCATTCCCCTGGCTCCAGTGCCCGCCCAGGCCTCCTGCAACAGCTTCTCCAGCAAAGCAGCAGACCAAGCTTGGAAGAGGAGCTCCTTCCGCAGCTGTACCAGCTTCAGCCAGGCTGGCCTTGAAGCTTAGCAGGTCAAGAACTGGTTCCAAAACCAGCACATGAAGCAGAAGAGGCAGTTGAGAGAGAAGCAGGTAGTGGACCTGTCTCCTAGGCTGTTCCCTCTCCGGCTGCCCCTAGCACTTCCACTCTGACTCTGCTGGCCGAGGCTGTCTGGAGACTGGGCTGCTTTATTCTTTGGTGACCCTCTGACTCAGAGACCTTTAGCTTCAGTTTGGTTACATGTCAAATGAGCCCTTTGCTGGAGGGTCCTGTCCTCCTATAATCTTAGTGAGCCTGCCTGTATATGTGCAGAAGAGAGAGGGGCAAAGATAAGTCTTAGTCCACTCTGGGAAGGACGTCTTTGTTTTCTTCTTTGGTGAGAAGAAAAATCTTCCTCCTTTGCCATCCTTAATCTCCAACCCTGCCTCAGAAAACTACCTTCTAGGCCAAGGGGTTTCTCCATTCCAGAAGGGGTCGGATTAATCTGTAAAGAGCTTGGCATGAGGTTTGCAAGTGCTGGAGGAGCCAGAGGAAGAATCTCACTCTTGAAAGAGAATGAGGACGTTTCCTACTAGGGCAAGTAAACTTTAGGTTTGTAGGATATTTCACTGAACTCATATATACTAAGAGATTAATTGGTAAAGTGATTTTAGATTCAGCCTGCGGAGGAGCTCAGATTGGGGTAGCTATGTGTCTGGCTTGTTAGACCTGCACTCCCATACCCTATTCAAGTGCTCCCCGGACAACCGCCCAGTTAGAGCCAATTAGAGAACTTCTTTGTTTCCCCAAAGTGGAATGGGGCAGGTTACTGAGGTCAGCCAGGTCTTCCAAGAGCATCGTAAGCCTTGAGGATGGGCTAAAGGACCCTCAAACCAGCTGGAAAGCCATGTCCACAGTAAACTTTGCAGTTCTCCCTTAGGGGGCCTCAGTCCTGCACTTTCCAGCATTGCTTTTAGCTTTCCTTCCCTTTTCTTGAGCTTCTGTCCTTCATTTATATTTCTCCCTCTTCCTTCCTTTCTCCATCTGGGGTTCTTGTACTATTTTTGTATCCCAGAGGCTTTGCTCTGAGACCTTTAGGCAAGCTAACGAGCGCCCTACCCTCAGGAGTTCATTACGTGCATGCAAATATTAGGATTGGAAGTAAAGAGCAAAAAGGGGAGTAAGCTTTGCAGATCAGGTGAGGGATGAATCGACTTGTTTTCTATATCAATCATGATTATTGCCGTCACATCCCCATGGCTAATCCCAGAAAAGCCTTCCTCACCTCCAGCCATCTGCAGCCCTGTCCCTGCCCACGGAGGTGGAGTTGTTGGTGCCCCCAAGGCCATCGCTTTCCCAGGGTAAGTGAAGATCTGCAGGAGCTCACCTTGCTGCAGGGAGGTGAGGTCAGTGATGCCAGGTCAGCACCTCGAACTATTAAATAAGCAAACCTATTTCCCTATTCCCAGGGTTTTTAGGGGTCCCCTTGCCCTTGGATGGAGAGACTGGTCGATTCTGGCTCTTGGCTGTCTCTCCAAGGAACAACTCTGACTAGCTGGGCCCACCGCCATCCACACCTGCTCAGCAAAGAAGGAAGGTCACTCATTCCAGGTCTTGGTGGAACAGATGCAGACTGTCTGCCCAGAGCAGCTCCCTTGTCCCTACCTGGCCCAGCGGGGAAGGAAGGAACCCTGTTCACTTCGCAGGACCCGGAATCTCAGTGCAGAGCCGACAGCTGCAGTTGCCTCCTGGAGCCTGACACTGGAAGCATCTTCTGCCTTTGGGCTCTCCTTGTTGCCTTGGCCTCTTCTCTGTTCAGTTTGCCACTGTGTTTTTCTCCCTCATATGGGAGTGGAGGGAAACAGGGAAATGGAATGTTTCTCCCTTGCCCCTAATCCTTCCTCACAGCCCCACCAAACCTTACAGCTGCCATGGTAAGGAACGGCAGCTTCCAGCCTTGCTTACAAGCTGCTCAAAGCAAATTCAAATTCTCTTCAGGGCAGGAAGAAGGGCAGATGCTCCTACCTCAGGCCTCCCTTGTTCATTGATCCATTTTGAGGGCAATTGGGGGTCAAAATTGAGACCAGATTGCTTCAATTGGTACAAAATTAGAATGTCTTATCATACCAGAGGCCCAAATTCCTTGCATCAAGGAATAGTTGATTTTCACCTAGACCTGCACCTCTTCTCTGGCCTCTCAAACCAGTGATGTAAAAAAAAAGGTTTGTCGAGGTGGAGAACTGAAGGAGAATGAGCAGTCTATTCCATTGAGAAGTCTGTAGCTTCAGTTGTTCATGCCACTAATATTTATTTAGAATGTACTATGTGCAAAGCATTGTCTCTACTTCAGTTTGTCATGACTGTCAAAAAAGATTCTTGCCCCTATGAGGCGTCGAAGAGTGTGGACAAATATATAAATAAACAAATTAATGAAAAAGAAGTTTGCATTCAGCTGAATTTAATTGTAGCCTCCCATGTGCCTGGTCACAGAGTGCCTGTCTTCCCAGCTCCAGCTACCCAGACCCAGTTGTTTGAAAAACAGGACTGCCCTGGGACTCATTTGTTTTCCCCCACTGGAGGGAGAGACGTGCACTGGGATAGGCAGGCGGGAAAAGCCCTGAAATAAAGGGTTGGGGATGGTTGGTGAGGGCCCTCCAAATCTTTGAGGTGTGCATTGTTGGTGGTGGTGGTGGTGGTGGTGGAATATTGGAGGTAGGCTAATCTGGGTTTCTGAGCAGGCTGCAGGTTCGCGTTGGTGTAATCACGAGCCTGAAGGTGACAGCAAGGGTATGCATGTGCAAGTAAGCTGAAGGGGGGTGGACAAGTCTTCCTTGCTCCAGACTTATGTGCACTGGGCCCAGACGCCTGCACAGGATCAGGTGTGCGTGTGTTGGGAGGTGCATGCAGATCTGAACATTTCTCTGCATACATGACCTTCTGTGTATGCAAGAGTATATGTACTCGCTGAATTATTATAAAATTACACTGACCCTTACAGAAAATCCATACCGGCCTCAGCCTTTCTCCCCTGACCTCTCGACCTCTGGGGTGCCTGAGGAAAGAGCTGACCCGGTCACTGCCTCCCCCTAGTCAATGAGTCTCTCTCCATTAGCATAAAACATGAATCTGCTGGCAGCTTGACAAATTATAACTAGCAGCCAGAGTTTTGCCAACTGGCTGGCTTGGGCGCTGTCTATTTATCATTGAAAATGGTAAATCATAAGAATCCAGATGACTTAATTATTCAAATCCACCCAGGACCCAGAGAAGCTGCAGTCCCGTCAATCTCAGCCTGGGCTCAGGGAGAGGGCAGGGGAAGAACGCTGTTAGCTTAAGAGCTGGGAGAAGCAGACTCCATTACTGCCCCTTTCCTCCGTCCGGCAAGTGGGGGTTTTCTCTGCAGTCCCCCACCCTCTCCGCCTTCCTGCCCACCTTCCCAGGCAGAAGCCTGGCCAGTTGTTTTGGTTGCTGACCCTCCTGAGGCTCTTCCCTCCCTGCCTCCTGCTGTCTGCCACCCACTCCCCAAGCTCACAGGGTATTTCTCGGCATCTCTTTGTGTGGACCTGTTAGTTTGCTCTTTCTCTGTTTCAGTGCCTTCATTTTTATTTATTTTTTTCTCCTATTTTCACCATTTCT